TATATATATATATATATATATGAAAAATAAAACTAAATGTCGTGGCTTTCCTGCGTAAAGAAAAAAAATGACTGCGGCACAAAACTCTTACTAGATCAATAATATTTTTGGGAAACTATTTAATAGCATTTCTTCATGGATAAACAAATATCGGATTTGAAATCTTCTTGTACCAGCTATTAACATAACAATTGACTTTCTTTTACAGAACCTACTTAGCAGAAATGTATTTATAGTGTATCAGTCCTATAATATATATATATAATAAGAATTTTATTAATTAAATAATTATATTAATAATTATTAGTTTCCTAATATTGACATTTCTGCTATGGTAATAATATATGAGGAATGATACGATACTTTAATACGCTGACTAACTACTACTCTGTGTTTTTGTCCTGTTGATAGCATTTGGCAGATTCCCAGCAACGATGACAACGTATACCCAGGGAAGCTACACATGTATGCGATTCATCAGTTTTAAGTAATTTACCATTGCGCGCGCGATTCGCGAGACCTTGAATTTGAAAACAACTATTTGTGTTTTTTTTTCTATCATATATATTCAAGGTTTTGCACACACATATTACAAACACATTTATTATTTTTTCCTCTTTAACATAAATAATAAATACGCGCGTAAAAGCTCTGCATTCCTATGCCATAGGAGAATTAATGCGCGATTATTAATGCAATTTTAACGCATCATACCATAAATACAGACAGGATGAGCATACTTATTAATATTATCAATTGCATATTTATTTTAGTCGGTTATATTTTATTACAATCATTGCAAATGAATATATCGAATGATTTTTCATTGTTTCATTTTACATTTTAAAAATATTTGTTTAATATTGACGAAGTTTATTCACTATTTATATTGTATTGAGTAAATTTGAAAGTAATATAATTTGCAACTATTTCAATTTTTATATTTAAGATGACTAAAATATTGTTTTGCAGATAAAGTATGTTCAATCTGATATATTTAGCCAAAAAAAAAAAAAAAACATCATTTTGATATAGATATATACAATTTCACAAACTCTTGAAACTTAATGATACTTATATGGTCAATTACGATAGAAAAATTAGTTCTGACAATTGTCTTCTTCTCATAGCTTATTATTACAAATAATATTATTGTATGTCAATATTTTCTTTCAAGTAAATAATCGTAAATGGCCTGCAAAACAAAACAAAACAAAACAAAACAAAACGAAAAAATGAATACTTTCTTTTGCCAAGTTGCCTGTGCTAACTTAACTTTGCTTAGTTCCAGAAATTATATTCTTTCCAGGATAATGAGAGAGTTTTATTTCAGGTGCAATTTGGCAAGAGAAATGGAATAATAATTTCATTATACATTAGAACCAAGAGTTTATGATCATTAGAAAATAGTTTTTGTTTGTAAATTACAATCCTATCACTTTTCGTTTCTTCTTTTATAAACAAAACAAAAGCCAAAAAAATAATTGAAACACGCGATTTTATCTCACAAACATTTTCAATAATTTAAAACCTACTGTGTGCATGCACAGTATTTTTTATTTATTTTTTTTTTTATTTTTATTTTCTATTTATATTTTGTTTTACATATTTTATTAGAAAAAAAAAAAAAAGGCAACTTGCCACTAAGTATTATTCGCATAATGTCATTTTTATTACAAAAAAAAAAAAGAAACAAATTAATAATTTTTAAATTGACATTGGTTTCTTTTCCCTTTTTATTTCTTGTATTTAGACAACGCCAGTTTTAAACAAGATAATTGAAGGAAAGAAAAAATGAAATACCATACTTTAAAAAAATCCATTTGTGCATGAAATAGATATATAAGCAAAATTGATGCCCAATGCAGTGGAGGCCATTTTCAATATGTTCGTAGATATAAAGCACGAATGAAAAATGATGTATTTAATAGTAAATTAATTACAATTTGTTTTTCTCTCTTTCTCTGTGCTCTCAAATAGGGTTTTCTAATGGTTGGAAAGAAACATTTATGAGTGGTGATCAAGAACCATGGGTTTTTCGTGGTGGTCTTACAGCTGATCTACAGGTAAGAATTTGTCTTTCTTTTTTTGTTTTTTTTTTTTTCAAATAAATGTAAATAATCTTTGTGCATCTTTTATATATTGTTGTTTTATTTTAGAGATTAATTCCGGTGGATAGTGGCAATGATTTATTTGTTTATAAAGCACCAGAAGTACCTAGTAGTACAATATATACGATACGGCCCTATTTATCGAGCGATGAAGGAGCAGTTTATGCAGTGTGTAATCAAATTTCTAACTGCACAGGATCATCGGCTGTAGCAGACAAGTAAGTGTATAGATAATATTGTATTTTATTATATATTATTTTATAAACATTAAGTTCAACATTATTGGGCTCAACGAGCATGCCTGTATAAAACACATTCTTTGTCGTCCAAAACCGCTCTCCAACCTCTCCTCCCACCTTTACCCTACTCACTGTTTCCCTTAACACCTCCTTTACCCTTTCCCTGAGCCCCTTTCTCATCCCTCTCTTCTTCATTTCCCTCAACAAAACACTCCGGTCCACATAATCAAATGCAGCCTTGAAATCCACAAATACCGCCACCGTCTTCCCCTTCTCCTTCCTTACCTGTCTTCCCACCAAAATAATTTAGCACGTAGACATTGTCTATCGTTCCTAGCCCCCCTTCCTCCCCACTTCCTCTTCTATTCTTTTCGCCAAAATAGCTGTATATATTTTATACAGGAAAGGCATGAGTGTGATATCCCTCTGTAATCTCCAGCCCTTTCACCCTCTCCTCTTTTAACTATCGGAATTATCATTCCATCCTTCTCCCCTCTACACCCTACAACAAATCTCCCTTGCCATTTCTAAACCCATTCTTCCAAGCTTCATTTGGAAATGTTATTTTATACATATATCATATTACTCTTTCAGATTAGTTGGCGGATTTTTAACATTAAGTCCTGAATTGTGTATGATTGTTGAAGATGAGAATGGAGTAGTAGGATATGCACTAGCTGCCTTAAATGTTAAATCTTATAACCAGAGGATGGCAGTTTCTTGGATTCCTGAATTAAAAATGAAGTATCCTTTGGATACTGGCATAAATAATTTACCACAGGATATTCAAGTATGTATATAAGTATAATGAATATGTATGAAAGTATATAATGTATATATTTTTAACATTGTTATGTAATAATGATTATTTGTCATTATTTGAATTTCTAATTAAAGGATGCAATACAGTATTTTCATACATTTAACCCGGATGTATCGGAACAACTGTGTAGACATCATCCATCTAAACTTCTATGCTCAATACTACCTACTGTAACAGATCAGTCAATTCCTAAAAGATTGATAACTTGTGTCTTAGCAGCTTTAAGAGCTAATGGTATAAATATTTTGTTTAATAATTATATACGATGATTTTACATATAAATTTGTTTAAAAAATGGATTACATTGTATATATTTAAACAGGTTCTTTTGGAGTTCATACGACTATGTGCTCTACGGATAAAGAAATGAATGAGTTTTATACAAAATTAGGTTTCGTTGAATTAAATCCAGCACAAGAGGAACATCCTGCAATTAAAACAATGTGTAGAAGTTTCTAACAGAGACTGAACACGTCGTTATTATTTTTAAATAAAGTATATATACTTGGATCTTCTACGAAGAAGAAAGGATTTATAACATAAACAATTTCGTAATCCAAGTAAAATTTGTTTACTACGAATTTGAAAAGAAAAATCTCCATTCTTTTTTACATTATTATTTTTTTTTTTTTTTTTTTTTTTTTTTTTTTTTTTTTTTTTTTAATTTTCCGCTACTGTAATATATATATATTGATGAAACATAAGATGTATACTTTTCTCTCGCTTTTATCTCTTTATAGAAAAAAAAAACAAAATGCATAGAAGTAATACAAAAAAGAAAAAAAAAGAAAAGTATTTAATGTAATTAAATAATTTTTATTTCTCTCTTCCTTTCGTTAATTATATGATATTAACATTAAAATCCTCTTTCGCACTAATTGCAATTCCTTTATTATTTAAAGAAAAGCCTAAAATTTTGATTTAGTTCAATTTATAATACAACATCTATAAAAAAAAAAAAAAAAAAATAAATAAAACACGATACTAAATAATAATAATAAAAAAAAAAAAAATAAACTCTTTACTTTGAATAATTAGCAGATAAACAAAAATCTTACTGAACACGTTCATACGTATATAACAGGAATAAACAAAATGATGATTATTGTTCTAACAGAAATGATGGTTACAACAGTATATATATATATATATATATGATTTCACTCTCCTTCGTCTATTTAACATAATGTGGTAAATACGTATATATCATGTATATATTAAAAATAAATACTGTATAAAATGTGGATGGTAGTATCCCTTGATAAAAGTTAGCAAAGGAGGAGAGTATACATTTATTTTTTTTTTTTTTTTTTTAAATATTTCCAATTAATTTTCTATGGTTTAATATTTCTGTTTTTACAAACAACACACTATAATGTTCTAACGATTAATTATATTAACTGATCATTTGTGCAATTAATATATGTATATAAACATGGGATATATATCATAAAATGCCATTATTATTATTATTATTATGTGTGTTCCAATAATGAGTGTCTAAATTTGATAATTTGTTAAAAGGGAATTTTTGGTTTTAAGAAATTTATTTCTTTTATTTTTTTTTTTATATTTATCCGTTTTAAATAATTACTACTCCATTTTGATGATGAATGGAAAAATTATTATTGATCTTAAATAATATTCATTTCATCTAATGTAATACGAGCCTAAAAATGAGATATTAGAAACGTTCAAGCGAATATTCTAAAACCTAAACACAAACATCATTTACGTATCTCTTCTATATGTAATTTGTAAGTCTACAAATTTAGAACTTAACTTGTTTATCGTTTATTTGATCATACAGTTTTATAAATTTTGTTTTTTCTTTTCTGTTTTTTTTTTTTTTTGTATTTTAACATATAATATTAGAATTTATATATTGTAGTATTCTCTACAAATATCGATAAAATATAAATAATACATTTATATATATATTTCTATTGCTAATAATATTAATTAACTTGATAATTTCGTAATAATATAAATTGGTTTTATGCAAATGCAAGAAGATACATTAATTGAAGTCGTTCAGTGCACACACTTAATCGATTAACTCCATAAAACAAACAAAGTTGAGAAATTCGATGAAATAATATTACTTATTATTCAATAGTCAACAAAATGTTGTCGTTTTAATGGTATTAATCTTTATTATTCAAAAAAGTTATTATAAATATAAAAAGTTATGACGACTATACACCAAGTGGTTTGACACTTAAATTGAAGATTTTTCAAAAAGTCGAGGAGTTGTTAATCGATGTGTGAACGGCACTGAACCGGCTCATTTCAAATTGTGATATATATAAGTATAGTTATTTAGTAAGTATTATTATTTTGTTTACATAATTATTACGTTAAAAGAAAAATTATATACATACATATATATGTGTTATTATTATCATAATTAATGTTTTTTTTTTTTTTTTTATATATGATATGTAACAGATTATTTGATATTTCAATTTACGATCAATATAGGTTCAATAAAAATTAATAATATAAATTATGATAAAATATCAATGCACATATACATAAGTAATTTCGTATAAAAAAAAAAAGAAAAAAAAATTCATATTTCAATTTATACTTACAAACAGTAGGAAATCTAAGATGTCGAAATATTATATCGTTGAAGATGATGTATTTCTTTTTGTAAAAGATGAACCTGTTTAAACAATATTTGTACAAATTGATTATTTTTCAAAGTTACTTATAACATAAACACAAACCTTTTTAATCGTATCATTTAAAAATTGTTGTTTGGAAATTGACGTCATATTTGTAATTCCATCCATATTTATCGTATTTAATGAATCCAACAATTCAATGATTCTTTTATTTATGTTACTGCAACAATTATATATATATATATATATATATATATATATATATATATGAAATTTATAAATACATTGATAAATTCACTTTTTAGTAATAAATCAAAATTTTCAAAATGATTTTATATCGTCACACAATACTTACGCAGGTGATATAAATATTGATTTATTTTTTGTCTGCAAATTCGTTTGATCTTTCTGAAAACAAAAAACACCAAAAAAAAAAGACAATTGTTTATTATAATTTGATATATAGCACACTGTAACAAAGAAATTTTATTAAAATATCTTACCGAATTGTTTTCTGTATTATTTATACATAAATCATTAACATCTTCAATAGCGAATGGGATGTCACCTAATAAACATAAATTAATTACATTTTAATATTTTTTTTGAAAATTTAATTAACTTAAAATACACACACACACACACAGAGACACAAATTTTGTATTATTGTACCTTTTCTTCTTTTTGTAGCTTTTTCCATACTTTTATGAAAACTCGTTTTATCATCTCTCCACTTTTGTAGAGTTATTTTGTCTCTGTATATAAAAAAAAAAAAATATGAACAATACAGAAACAAATGTTTTAATAAAATTAATCATTGATCTATTTAAAAACAGAACCAATTTATCTAAGATTAATAAATTTACTGCTACTACTGTATTATTAAAAAAAAAAATGATAATATACAATAATTATAGATACAGATAAAGTATCATGTTTTAAATAGACTATCTATTACATTAGAAATTTACATGAATGATGATTAATTATTTACTTCATTTTTTGAAGTACAGAAGCTTCTTTATTCAACATTTCTGTAATTTTGTTGATCCATAAAAGTTGATTTTGTCTAACTAAATCAATTCCTTTGCTAACACATCTACAAATATCAATTATAATTAATTTCAATATTATATTTATACTTATATTATTATATCATACCTATTACTTGGTTTGTAAGCTTTTCTCTTTTCTATCATAGATATTTTATCAAATTTATTTGAAATATTACTGCAACTAGTAGAACAATTAACAACTTGTAACATACTTGATGTATCTTTGTTATTCGAATCCTTATAAACAACTGTTAATGATTTAGGCTTTGTTTCTGTTTAAGATAATAAGATAATAAACATAATTGTATATATATATATATATTACAATTTTATTTCTACTTGCAAGAAATATTCTTACGTTTCACAGGTATTATTCCAATTTCAATTTTATCTGGATGTAATTTGTTCCATTCAATTTTTAAAAATGTTAAAATACTAGCAAATCCAAGTGCTACGACATTCTCTGGTGGCATAATTAAAGGATTACGCGCTACTTGTAAATTTTTTAATTTTGGTATCAAGCCTACAAATTTAATGAATTATCAATGTATATATTACAAGTCAATTTTGGAAATATGCAATAAGAGGACAATGAATAATTTGTATAATACATATTTACAGAGTTCTAATGGTAACATTTGAATTAGATTTCCTTGCAATAAAAGTGTATGTAAAGAAGTATGAAATTTAATGTTATTTGGTAAAGATTGTAATTGATTATTTCGTACATCTAACCATTCGAGATTTTGTAAAGATGGAAAAAGTTCATCAGGAATTTCTGTTAATGCATTATTTTCTAAATAAAGCATCTATAAAGATAATACACTTGTATTAATATCAATTATTAGAACATATATAAAATAATAAAGCTAACTTAACTATATATATATATATATATAATACCTGTATTGTTGAAAAATGTTGTATTATATTATCTGGTAATACTGTAAGTCTTGCATTTGACAAGTCAACAAACATTGAATTGTAAACAAATTTTTGGTTACAAATTGGTTCTAAATAATCTTCATATTGTTTATTTGATTCTTGTGTTGCATCTTGCGTTACTATCGAAGAAATATCAGATGTAGAATCCAAATCATCAGCAGGTACAGGACACAACTCGCTAGTACGTAATTCTTTAGTATCTTAAACACGTGTAAAAAAACACAAATTTATTATTTCAAACAAATTAATCAACAATAAAACTTTGTCCAGTTTTATACAATTGTTTATTCTTCATTATTTACCATATAATTCATTGGATATATCAGCATGGTTTTCATATAATTCAGTAGTCTTCAACGATACTTCATCGTTTAAAATATCAGCAAAATGAGATTTCAATATAGTATACGATTCAAAAGTTATACTTTTGTCTACTTGTTCTTCCTCTTCATCATCCAATTCAGATAAATTATGTCTATTTAAATCAGTAGACTCTTCCACATTGTATTCCTTCTCACTTTGCTATAATAAATAGTAAATATGTGATTTAATCAATCAATGAAAATCTTTTTGCATTTTAAATTACAGCAATATTTAGAAGAATAAAATAAAAAAAAAAGAAATACCGCATCTTCTTTCGTTAAAATGTCCTCTGTTTCATTTAAAATGATTTCTTCATCAACATTATTTTCCTTTTCATAAGCATCTTTATTATTAACACATTTGTGAATTGACAAATATCTATCATTATTAGATTCATTATTAAATCCATAATACTGTTCAAGAATTTCTCGTGTTACGTTGATCATTGGAATACGCAAAACAAAAACAAAAAACAAAACTAAATAGATTCAAATGTTAAATATGTATTTAATAATTTGTTTAATTTATTAAACAGAGAATGAATAAAATTTGAACATAAGTGTGTCATTTAAATGATTCATTAATCTTTCACATTTTCTTTATTCGATACGTTGTTTCTATGGAAACAAATGTGATAATGTTTTAAAATGGATCTACTTCCTCAATATACATTTATTCCACTTACATGTAAACATTATTTTGATATAAACGATAAAGAAACGCAAGATTTACTTAACAAATGGTAATGTCATATGTTTATATATTTATACATTTTTTATTTTGTTCAAAATGTACATCCAAAATTCTTATTCATTTTAATAGGGGATTGAAGAGAAATATCATTATACAACATTTTTCCTTCAATGAACCTTTTTATTTGTATCATAAATACCATTTTGCTGAGGTAAATGGATAATATTTATAATTTAATGTTACATTTTTGTATTTCTTAATTATCTATAAATATAAATGTAATTATTTGTTATTAAATAATAACAGGCCTTTTTTAAAAATCGTGTCGTTGTTGAAAATTTATTAACAAAAACAGAAAACTCATCGTGGACAAAGCAAGGTATCAAATTTAATTATAAAAAAAAAATGTTATTTAAATATCTTCTTCTGATATTATATTACTGTATATTATTAAATACATGTTTTTTTTTTTTGCTTTTTCTTTTCTAGGAATTATTGCATCAACTGTGGACGTAGAACAATTACCATGTTCTGTTATAAATATGTCTTTTTTTGATAAATTACGTAATCCAGATAATGGAATAATAAGTATTTCTGGTGTTATTCGTAAAAGATATGATAGCGAAATTCATGATTTCCTTGTTTCTGACAAATTAAGAGAGGTAAGAAGAAGAGGATATGATGACACGACATTTAACAAATTACATTTGAATATTTTCTGTATGTCTTCTTAGATGTTATTGGATGAAGAGTCAGAACAATATAATTTATATACGAAAGATGAAAGAAACGAATTTATTTTTTGCATTTTTCAAATGTTAGTACTTGGTGGAAGTTTGTGTCAATACGAAGACACTTTGGAACCATATCTTACTATTACAAAACGGATGTATAAAGATCTCATAAGGTTTAACATTTTTCTTGTTCATTAATAATATATTTTGAAAAATAATCCTATTGTTTATAGATTAGAATAATTCATTATTTCAGAGTAGAAAAACGAAAAAATTCCGAAGAATTATCTATCAGTACAATTGTTTTAAAAGTTATAGCTAAAGATAATAAAAATCGAGAATATTATCCAAGTAATACTTCTTGTAATATACAGAATATTGGATTTCTATTGATCGATGGAAATCTACGTGAAGTTACAACGTTTCTACATCAGTTCTGATTGATATTGTGTAATTACTTATTCACATTCTTCATTTGTAATTAATAATACGAACAAATACAAAGAGAAAAAAGAAAAGAACATTATTAATTATACATTTATCTTATAATTGTTTGTCAAATACGTACACATATTTTCAGTTGACGCTTCAGTTGCAATTGTAATCATACTACGAACCATTATTATAACTTAAAATTATTAGTGTTGTATTCGTGAGTAAGAATAATAATTATTGATTACTTATTTACCGTTATACACTAAATAAAAAAATAATTTATCACACAATTAATTGTGACTTTAAAGAAATATATAAATATATATATATAAAGGAAATTTTATACTATATATAAGTTATAATACTTTCTTCTTGTTCCTTAGTTGAATTATTGAATTTGTATCGTATTTTAACACATGGGCTGAAAAGTCCCGGACAAATGCTCATGCAATATAAAGCCAATACGTTCTTTTGATCATCTTTACGATGTCAGCTAACTCACACAACTTCAATTTCCGATCATTCAAAATGATTTTGTGGATTTTTTGTTTATGTTTTCTGATGTTTCCGCCTCATTTAGACGTCCACTGCGTTCTGCATCATCAGTGTCTCTCTACAACCACGTTTGAAGTCAGCAAACAAACGTTTTATTGTTGTTTCTGATAGAGTGGAGTCCCCATAACACTTTTTAAGCCATTGCTTCGCTTGAACGGTATTTTTTTGTCCATCAAGAAGCAGTGTAAAATTGAAACACGAAATTGTTTTTGATTCATTGTGAATGCAATAAATTGGTACAATCTATGTATAAGGCTCAAGATTTTTCAGCTCATATGTTATACGTTTTGTTGATATCGTTCATCATATAGCAATTTTTATGGCACATTTATCAATAATTTTAAAATTTCTAAAAAAAACTTAGAACAAATATATTACTGATAATCTATATACGAATCTTTAGTTGTGTTTGGTATGTGAACTTTTTGTTTCTTATCTTCATAAAATATTAAAATTTGAATGAAATAGTATTTTCCCATAAGTGATTCTATCGATGATATAATTCAATCGTTGACTAAAAACTACATACACAATAATAAAGAATATGAAATGATTTAATATAAATCGTGAAAAAATAACTGGCAAGTAGATTATGTTTGTTAATATAATATTGTAGGCAAAATATTGTTCAATTATAATCTGCATAATAATAATAATAATAATAATAATACAGAAAATGTTGTACGTAATGGTCATTAGTGTACTTAGAATCTATTACGTATATCTAATCTTTACAGTAACAATATTTGCGTAAATGGAATAATGAATGTTCCACACACCTAGCTTGTGGCCCATATTTGTTAATTCTACTCACATCAGTAATCTAGAAAAGAATTAAAAAAAAAAAAAAGAAAAAGAAAAAAAATGTAATAAATTCGATTACGAACAATGTAATTAAACTTAATCAACTTACTTTGGTATTGAAAAGATTCTTTTTAACGTTATAAGTAATACTCGCTTCAAATAATCCACCACCTGGTTCTGTTTTTACTTTTATTTGATATATCTCAGATGTTATCTTAGTTTTTGCAGTAAGATCTGCTACAAAGCCATCTTGATCTCCAGATTTTTGAAAATTCAATAAACCTTATAACATATTTTTAATTATTATATGTATGTATACTTTTCTTATATAAATATAAAAACAACTATATAAAATGTATAATACCTTTAGTGGGTAAAAGTTTAACAGACCATAGTATTTGATTCAATTGTAAAATTTCACATTTATCACGATGATCTTCCGTGTAGGAATTAAGGAATTGAATAAAATACTTAGCAGCAGCAATAACATTAGGATTATCAACTGGTACTTCTTTCCAAGTAAGGCAAGCACACCAATGTGGTTCTATGAATGCATTCGCGCATGTTCTCTCCAAGGGTATCTATTTCAAATGAATATTGAAAAATGAAAATATTATCCTGTGTTAATTGTGTTCAAAGTTATTAGATATTATTAATATTTATTATACCTTATCGAATAAACTAATGGCCCTTTGAAAACGATCTCCTTCTTTTGGAGTTTCATAATTAATTATACTTTGTAATGTTTTATGTACATCAAACGGTGTTGTCAAATGTTTCGTGTTATGTAAGAAATTTTCATAGGCACGCGGATAGACTTGTTTGAACCATGGTGGAAAAGTGAAAGAAAAGAATGGCAATCGTTCTTCTTGTTTACCTTGCAAAGTATTACGAATTTCTGCAAATCTATGTCCATGATCGCTCATTAATATTAAAACAGTATTATTTAAGTGACCAGAATCTTGTAACTGTTTTACCCAATGATATACATCTTCATCTGCAGCACCAATGTCATTATAAGAATCATGAGATAATTCACCGTGAAAACCAAATAGAAATTTAGGCTCGTCTTTGTAAGTATCAAAAATAGATTTCATGTAATTTAGCATAACCACGTGACGTGGAATACTTCCCATACAATATTTATTGTAATTACGAAAATACTGCTCAGCAGCTAAGTAAAATGTTCTCATATAATGATTTGTGGGTTGCTCTTTAAAACCTTTTAAACGATAAGTGAATGTTCCAATGTGATAAACGTCTTCCATAAATCCTGTTATATATCCCTTTTCTTTATACTCTTTCCATACCATTGGATATACATCAACATATTGTGCTTTCTGACCCATACGTTTACGCGTCTCTGGCAATTCAAGTTCTATTTTGCCCGTAAGAATAGGAATTAGAGCTTGTGGTGTACCATCACCTACTATATTATAACCTTCCAAAACTAAAGTATTTAAATTTGTCTTCAGATACTCATATGTTTTAGGCAATTTTCGGATAAACGTATTACGTGATAAAGAATCAAAACCAAACATTAATACGTTTAATTTGAGTGCAGTATTTGGAACATTATCCCAAGTATACTTCTTTTTTATTTCTAAATCTTGTTTCACTCCAGCTAAGACGCTATGCCATCTAAAAAACCATTAATGAATGTTAAATTGATAATACATCATATGTGATCAAAACATAGCTAAATATTAAACATATAGCTAAAATAGTTTATTTTAAAGAATTCATGTATTATAATTCATTTTATACTAACTTGTTTCCATTCTCCGAAGTACATTTTACGTCGACAAAATCGCTATGTCTGGGAATATAGAAATCATCAGCTTCTATTGGTTCCGAATACTTAATATTGTTATCATCTATTCTGATTATTTCTATAAATAAAAAAAAAAAAAAAGAAAATAGCAAGAAACAAGACATTAATGAAACATTTGAATATTTGTCAATATGTATAAAACTTTGAAAATAATTCTAATTACCACTAAACGTGCACATCAATCGTCCATACTTATTTTGTATTTCTTTATCGACTATGAGTCTTGTTTTATTAACTTTTACCCAATCTTGGGGAGTACAAACTATGGGGGGTACATTATGTATAAATTTCATTATCTCTGGATTAGAAACCTTCAATTCTGGTAGCTTACATGCAGGAACTCCATCTCTAAAATATAATCAATTTAGTATTCTTAAGAAAAAATCATTATAACTGTATATATGAATTAATTTTACACACCCTACGTACAAAGTATCTTGTTCAACTGATTCTTTTATCAATCGGGACATATATACACTGTAATGAAACAAATAACAATGATGAAGAAACATTTGTAACATATTTAAAATAAGATAAAATATTATTGTATTAATAAAAAAAAAAAAAAAGTATTATGAGAAAAATTACTTACAGTTTGTCATAATTTGACAAGTCATCGTTATATCTTAATTCAGATCTAAGTACTTGACCAATATAAAATATGAATACAATGATCAATGCAATTATTATGAATCTTTTAAAGTAACACGATGTGATCCTCATGTTTATTTAATTGATCATACCTGAAGAAAAATGATCAGTTAGTCATTGATGTCTATAATCATTTTTTTTTCATCGATTTGTCTATGCACATGAATTTGAATACAAAATCTGTGTTACAATAATAACCGAATAAAAGTTGATGTATATCAAATAATTGTATGTTTTATTTTAAAAAATAGACAACAACAACAAAAAGTGTAAGTTCACTGTTAACAAGTATATATGTCAAATATTGTTTTCTAGTTCTAATTTTATAAAAGAGAATGTAATAACATTTTTTTTTTAATATTTCTTAGATCACATTTTAAAAATGCATTTTTTAAAGAATTATCACACAATTAAATATACACACACAAAAAACACGTATATATATATTCACATATATGTATATAGATACAAATTCACAGAAAAAGAAGAAAAACTGTATACCTTTTGCAAAAGAAAGAACTTTGTGCGTTTTTTCCAAGAATTACGTTTCTCTCTGATAATATTTAGCCGCTTGTTCCAAACGAACAAGTGAGATCATTTTGATTAGATAAACGTGGTTACGATAAGTTTATAATAAATTTAATCATCTTTCAAATTTTTATATATATATATATATTGAACATTTGAATAGGAAAGAAAATGATTCTTGAAATTCGATCTCGTTTATTTCATCGTTTTATAACCAAAAGTATGTTTGTATTTAATTATTTCTCTCTTCTTTGTATGTACGAACTTGAAAACATATCTCTCTCTCTCTCTCTCTCTATCTATCTCTATCTATCTATCTCTCTCTCAGTTACTTTTTCTTATTTCTAAATTTCGATATTATGTGCAAGCATATGTAGAGGGCGCTCTATTCAATAACATTTATTTACATTATTTGGTCCGGTCCTAATGTGGCCATTATATGCTTTCTTAACTATTTTTTTCATAATAAAATTCGTATAATATAAAAAATGAATTTAAAAATTGCAATTCATACCTGATGATATTTTATGGATTCGTAGACATCGAACGCGAATACATGACATTCGCGAATAATTGCATTATTTTCACAGAATACAATTGAATGATTTTAGTTTTGTCATCCATACACCTTCCATAAAGAATATTTAAAAATAACTATGCGCATATATGATCATCGTGTTTAAAAGTTGTAGAATTTAATCAATTATTATTATTATTATTATTATTATTATTATTATTGCGCACGACAACAGAAAAATGTACTTACAATGATGTAAGTTTGAATTAATGACAAGATAATAATTTTCTTTTGACGGTTTTAACATTAATCAATAGACATTATCTCAAACATGTTGAATTCTTCAAAATAATTATATTTGCTTGTATAACAAATGTATATATATATATATTTTTTTTTTTTTGTAAAATGTTCTTTCACGTGATGAAACATCACTTAACGAAGATCAAGAAAGGTTAGCAGAATATTGTTTTTGTTTTTTCTTTTCATTGCTGAAAATATTTATGAAATATTAACAAATAATTTCTAATTTTTGAAATATTATTTTTTTATTAATTTTATATATTTTTTTTTTATAAATGTATATAAAGAAATATAAAAATAATTATTATACCATAATAAAGAGAAAGCACTATAGACGTTTAATTTTGCATCTAATTATAAGAATAATTTTTTACAGATTCTTATTGAAATCAAAATGACCCCTCCATGGTAAAATATTACTAATGTTTTCATCCTACAAATGAGAAAAGATTGCAATTTTTATAAATGTATAATGCTTTCTTTATAAATGTGTAAATAACATTAATAAATATTATTACCTGAAATTGTGAAGATGAAGTCATTTCATTGTCACTATCAACGAAATACATGGTATCCGGTGTTTCTTCATTTTTACGTAGAATTTTATCTGGTCTATGTGATTCATAAATTTTAATTAAACATCCAGGAATTAATGAAATAACAAGTACTAACAAAGTAAGTAACCAGAACGTAGTCGACATTAACAATTTTGGAAAGACAGAAAACATATCGCCATCATATCGACTGTAACATAAAATTATCATTATTTTTTTTTTTTTTTTTACTTCAATAGATTCTTATGATATTCAGTTATTTTTCTTTAAAAAAAAAAAAAAAAAATGACCCATTTCTATGTATACATATCTACAAAATTTTTGAACATTCATATAAACAATTTTACAATAGAATATACAAATGCAAATATAAAAAAGCATAATTCTGATAATATTACACTAATTACTAATTGTACCGTCCAATATGAACTGNAAAAAAAAAAAAAAATGTCAACTACATTTTTTTTCTATTCTACAAAATTTTTGAACAATTATACTTACAATTTTACAATAGAATATACAAATGCAAATATAAAAAAGCATAATTCTGATAATATTACACTAATTACTAATTGTACCGTCCAATATGAACTGCATAGTAATAACTAAAAAAAAAAAATAAATAAATATCAATTAAATTATATAATTGGTGTGATATTTAGTAAAGATATAAAATATAAAAGTAATCAAACAATACCTGACAATTAATGACAAGTATAGCCATATGGAATATCCATGTACTGTAACTCCAGTGTTCCACTGGTGTATTGTCATATAAGATTATAGGATTCTTATATATATAAAAATATAATACAAAATATATTATACAAATTTGCCATATACCTAGGAATTCAGAAAATTTATTTGTATAAGTTTATTTGTTAAATTCCATAAACTTCAATAAATGCTGTGAGTGTTTACCTATAGCTGACCATAAGAAAAATTGTTTCCAGGATAATAGAAAATTTTTCTTATGAAGCTTGTATAAATACGGATTGCATAAAAGTTTATTAGCAGCATAATCTTGCTCATATAATCCAAATATGACTATTGGAACTGATGTAAATATTACATTGAATAACATTAAGAACATACTATCATATAATCCCTGTATAGAAAATATTTAACATTGATAAAACATAATGATACTTACAGAAACTTATTATATATACAGGGTGGGACAATATCTCTGTACAGTTAGAATATTGTCGTTGTTTATAATAACAATATGAAACATTTTATATACGCAACTTATACGGCATGATGAGGGACGTATTTTGGCTTGAACGTTTTTATGCGTGGGTGGAGGCATAGAGGAGATTTCAAGGTCCCATAATATTCATTTAAAAAAATGAAGAGTAAATTGCTTATATAAAATTTGTCATATTGTTATTATAAACAACGACAATATTCTAACTGGACAGAAATATTGACCCATCCTGTATATGTGTGTATGTTGAATTTGTATAATATTTAATATACCTGACTAGAAAATCCATTATGTATAGCAAATAATATTTGTGGTGTAATGAAGACGAAATTTTTATAGAAGAAATATTGTGTTAAAATACTGATACGTCGATAATACCAATGTCCATGTACGAGAAAGACTTTTTTTAAATGTTTAAATCGTGCAAATGCAAAATCCGATGACATGGTTGCTTGACGTCCTTCTCTACCCATTATTCCTAAACCGACATGAGCTTCTTGAATCATGGACACGTCGTTTCCACCATCACCTATTGCTGCGGTTACTATTTCCTTTGTATTTTTTATCATTTGAACGATCTGAAACATTCAATTTCCCCGCCATTTTTAAAAGCCACGCTGCTATTTGTATTCAACATGATAAATACATAAACTACGTAATTCAAGTTTACTACTTCAATTTGACTCTGTATGGGATAGAAAAACAAAAAATGATTATTATTTCAAAATGAATTCTCAAGAATGAGACAATTTTCCTAGTTAACGATTTATCTTCTAAATTTTGTTTTTTTTTTTAATCCTATCATTTAAATAATTATACACGATCATTTGTTACCTCACTTTTTTGGAGAGGCGTTAATCTACAACATACAACTGACTCACATGCCATTGCTACTTTTTTAAACAACTCTGGACATGTTTGAATAACCGATCTTAGACAAGTTCCATTGATTAAAAATCCATATTGTCTATAAGGTTCCAATTTCATTTTACGTCTGTAAACGTCGTATTTAAAATTATAATTATATTGTTATACATTAATAGAAAAGATGTTTTAATTTGTGCAAATATTATTATACTTACTCGAAATGAGTCAAAGTAATAAAGCAAGTATGCGGCGTTGTTTGTGTCATTAAACGTAACACTTCAGTACCTTTTTTAAAATGACCGCACAAAAAAGCTATATTTTCAGCTGTTTCTGCTTTGTCACCGGTGAGTACCCAAACCTACATAATAAAATATATTGTATGATACTATACTATTACAGCTAAAGGAATACACATCTATGTGAAATTTCAATGAAAAATATTCGCAAACGGCTAGCTATCTGCGGCAAGTTTAAAGACCCAATGAATCTTCTCATGGACTATTACAAGTGTGCCAAATTTCAAACAAATCGGAAAGAAGACGATCCCAGTCTCTTCTTGTAAATTAACTACAATCGATTTACGATATGCATATAACTTATAAAATCATAAACCTTTATTCCCGCCACTCTGAGACACTCGAGCGTTTCTTCAACATTTTCTTGAAGACGATCTTCAACCGCAGTTACTCCAAGTAAAGTTAGACCACTTTCCATCTCTTCGTAGGCACGTTGGATGCACGTTTCTCGATCTTGTCCAATCACTTGTCTTGAAAGTTCAATATTACGTGTCAACCGTTCATAATCTATTTGATTTAATTTCTTATAAGCCACTACCAAAGTACGCAATCCTCTCTAATTCAAGATAGAAAAAATATTAATAAAGAAGACGTACATGTAATTGTTATTGATAACATTATAGAACATTAGCGCATACCATGGAAAATTCTTTCACGTGAGCAGCTGCTGTTTCGACGTCTCCTTGTACAATCAAAGGTAAAATTGATGTGTCTGCACCTTTACAATACAACCACAAGTCATCTGCGGTATCCTTGAGTATTACTGACATTCTTTTCCGATCTGTTTACACATAATATGAAGAATTATATTCATTTGTTAGAAATCATCAAAGTTAAAATGAAAATAATCACACAATAATTGTTCAACTTACCAGAACTGAATTCTAATACGTCTATTTTTTGAAAAATAAGAATACTATCATTTATCTTTATCTCCATTACATTGCTCGTGTTTTTGTAAAATACAACACCACATCTTGCGCTTGCTTCTACCAAAGCTTTTTCATCCGTCGATGTTGCCTGTAATATATGTTAATTTTGTGATTGAAATATAATCATTTATTATTACTGTTTTATTGTTGTATTTGCATAAAACAACAAAGCAATATATTTATTTTTTTATGAATTACGTAGCTGAACATTATTCATCATTTAACCAAATAGATTTAAAGGAAAGTTTAGCGTGGAGTGCATACGCCCAACACGGTATATGGAACGTATTAAGCAAACATTAAAATATTAGCATCCTTACTTGATATTCTGGAAGATCCGGGTGCATTAATAATGAACTATTAATCTTTGTTGTTTCTTTTAATCTAAAACTCTTACGATATTCTAAACGTTTAGAACTAATAATTGATTTTTGACTTGGCGGTGCTATTTGAACAACGTGGCAAAGAGAAATACTTATCATGAAGTGCCAGATTTCCGGCTGTAATGTTAATACAATTTTTCAATTACATGATCATTTTTTCAATATATAACATGTAATCCCGTCAACATTTACCTGCCACGATTGTAATTTAACAGCCTTCTGTTCATCTCCGTTAGGTGGTAACAAGTAAAGACTACCATCGCAATCTTTTTCTATATATACTTTTCCATTGATAGAACATCTTCTGAATACCATTAAATTTTCAGTCAGAGTACCAGTTTTATCAGTAAATAAATACTCAACCTGACCAAGTTCCTCATTTAAATCCGATGTGTTGCTCAATGCTGGTTGATCGGATGCATTGTCATACAAATCGATGTCCCACTCGAAGAAAAATGATCCCAGAAATTTCTGTAATTCTGAAAAGCGCATGGATAACAATACAAAAGAAAATATGCAATATTGTTGAAGGTATTACTACGCGCATGATATCTTACCGATTGTGACATATAACGATATTGGAACGATATAATTATACAAAATAGTAAAACTGAAGAAGTCTACAATAATAGACAAAGGTGTAGTAGAACTTTTCTCTCCCAAATAGAAATCCCATGTTGAATTAGATTCAATTATAAATTTCAAAATCGTAGAAATACTTATTTCAAGCAGCAGTAGTATGATAAATACAGTAAGATACTTATTGATAGATCTGAAAAAATATATGATATTTATTTTAATTGTTAACTAAATATTAATATAAATTATCGTTAATAATATTGTAGGATTCGTGAAAAAAATTGGATCGCTGGACTAACTGGAACCGGGGGATTCGAACCACGGATCTTTCGCTTTCCGGGTGAGACTGCTCTTTAACACCAATTGAGCTATCCAGGGCCCACCGACCACAATCCTTCTCACGAAGGCCCGATAAGTTTGGCATGGAGGCACTCGTCCCACAATATTAATTTATTTTTTTTTTTTTTTGTAGAAATAAAACGTCTACGTACTTTTCTGCAGTTGAAAATTTATTAGGAACCGTTTTCGAATTTAAAGATAGCTTAGTATCTTGACCAGTATAAATAACACAACCGACTACATTATCGGTGTCTTTTAATATTGCTCCACGAAGCAACATATTATCTATTGTTAGAAATCCACTCGTCACTTCGTCCATATCATTTTCTATTTCTATTTTTCCATGAAAAGTATAAAGATCTGCCATAGGTGTTTGACATGTCACAGTTGCTTGCATCGATACTATCTCTTGAAGAGACATCGTCGAAAGGATTTTTGGTACACTAATCGTCTAAACATGCACAAAAGAAAATAACGTATAATGTACAATTTGTCTATCTACATAAATATTTCAATAAATACCTTTAAATTGGTTTCTCCATCTAAATTGGATGTTGTAACATAACAGTAACCGGAACTATCATCGCTGTGTAAAAGAAGAAGATCACATGGAATATCTTCGTCTCGTCCTATTTTTACAATATCTCCAACAACTATTTGCTCGCAGTGAATAGCCTATGATATTTATATGATAAACATTTTATTTTATTATTATATATAAAATGTTGATAAAAAACAATTATACTTCATATATAAAATATTATAACTGACCTGTGCACATTTGTTACGAATGACATTTACCAATCTTGTATTAATACGTTTATCTACTTTATATCGAAGATAATCTTCGTATCCTTGTTTGCAAGCAGTCACCAATATAACAAACGTTAAAGGTAGGGAACTTGTGAATGGTGAAATTGGAGAATCTATCATTAGTGCTACTAATGTGTTAATAAGAAAATAGAAATTTGCTATACGTCGAAATTGTTCAAATAAATTTTTCGGAATAAAATTCCACACGGTATACTGTAAAAAAANGCAGTCACCAATATAACAAACGTTAAAGGTAGGGAACTTGTGAATGGTGAAATTGGAGAATCTATCATTAGTGCTACTAATGTGTTAATAAGAAATTGGCAATATGATCGACGTCAATATTGTTCAAATAAATTTTTCGGAATAAAATTCCAGAATGTATACTGTAAAAAAAAAAAAAAAAGAGAAAAAAACCATGTTCAAGGATTTAGGTAGAATCTTTTGTAACACTAACTAGTTTTACAAATATATACGACGAATACTTACTTTATGGGACACGATACGATTCCTCGGAAATTGGTTTTTTGATGGAACATTGTCAGGACTTATTCTAATGAATCTGTGTTCAGGAAATATTGAAGAACTCTCACCCTAAAAATGTATGTCTATATAAATACAAATATATATATATATATATATATATATATATATATATATATATGTGAAAGTTAAGAAATTTCATTGAAATAAATAATAATAATAAATAATAATAATAATAATAATACTTTAATTAATACATTTTGTTTCTTGTTATTTTGTTATAAAAAATATGTATCAATTATTTTCGCAATTCTGTACATTTATACTTTAGGTTAAATTATCAAACACATCGTCAAACTATCCGATTTGATTTTTCTTCTTTTACGAAAAAATATGAATATATTTCGTTGTATTTTTTTTTTTTTTTTTTTTTTACTGACAAATCTTACAATATTTAAACGATAATAAAATAACCAAAAGAATCTTCTTTATTATGAAAATAATAATATTTTCACAAATATACGTATATAGAATATTGATTGCATAAATTTTCAATGGGATACAAATTTATTGTATGAATATTGCTACGAACATAATACCATATATATATATATATATATATATATAGATAATAAGATTTTAATTAAGAAATTTGATATACGTCATAATGAAACTGATGTTTAACGTGAGTAAAAAAAAAAAAAAAAAAAAAAAAAAAAAAGAAAAGAAATATTTTATTTTTACTTACTATATTGTTCTATCAAAATATATTATATAATTGAAAAATAATTCATACGTGTTTGTTCGATTTTCATAAGAATTTTTCAACAGTTCAAAATTGAATGATTACAAAAATGCCCACGATCATAAAACTTTATAGACAGACGCGAAATTTGTTATCACATGTGTCTCGACAAATAAAACTTCGTGAGAAAAAATTCGAACGTTATAAACACGATGATGGTTCTGACGAAATAAAAGACATTTTTCTTACTATGTCAAATCATCATTATTTACAAAACATGTATAGAGCTTGGTTGAAAGACAAAAATTCTGTACATTCTTCTTGGAATGAATTCTTTCAACAAATTGATTCACAAAAAAATAACATTAAATCTACTACTTCACCTGAAAACAATATTCCTACAACCGAGTCAAAAATGACAAAAATTGATGTAAAACAAAGGGAAAAAGGACCAGAACAACAAAGTAATAATATTATTCATTTTCTCTTCATACACATATATTCTTATATACATTTTGCATTAAATTTTTGCTTATTGTTTGTTTGTTTGTTTTTTTTTCTTTCAGTTTCAATGTTACCTAAAACTAAGGGGTCGTCTTTTGATCAATCTTCAAGTGATAATTATATAAACAATACATTAGACGTTGATGCTACGATTCGTGCTTATCAGGTAGAAAAAAAAATGATTGATTGATTGCTATGTTACAATGATATAATTAATATATTTATATTTAAAGACACGCGGTCATTTGATAGCCGATTTGGATCCATTGGGTATTCAAAATCCGGATTCCGTTAAGCTTCAAGGGACTGCCAAGTTGCCACCAACGATCGTGGTAAGGGAATATCTAAAGGGAATAACAGAAGCTGACATGGATAAAGAATTTTTATTGACGAAATCAACAATGATCGGTGGAACGAAAACAAGTTTACCATTGCGTGAGATCATTAAGAGATTAAATCAAATTTATTGCGGACATTTAGGACTCGAATACACTTATATTCACGATCCTATTATGGTAATCGATGAAACTAATCATTAAACTCAAAATGTACATTTTATATCGATTATTGTATACGATCATTCAGTTAGACTGGTTAAGACAAAAATTTGAAGTACCAAATGCTTGGAAATTATCTAACGAACACAGAATATGGATTTGGAAGAATATCATGAAAGCGGTGACATTTGAAGGATTTTTACAAAGGAAATATAGCAGCGAAAAAAGATTTGGATTGGGAGGTTGCGAATCGGTTATCGCTGCAATGATGCAATTTTTGGAAACATCTTCTGAAAAAGGCAATGAATTACTACCCTTGTTTTGTTTTGTTTTTTTTTTTTTTCAATTCAAAACAAGAGAATGAAATTTTATTTTATTTTCAATTAGATTATTTCTATTTGGTAGGAGTGGAAACCGTGATGATAGGAATGGCACATCGTGGGCGTTTGAACACATTAGTTAATGTATGTTCGAAACCTTTGCATCAATTATTTACTCAGTTCAATCCTGTAGCTTTAGATGGTTTTGGATCAGGTGATGTAAAATATCATCTTGGAACGTATACTGAGAAATTATTGGAAAGGTATCATACATTATAATTTTTAATCTCTATGTTTTTTTTTGTGTGTATCTAATACTAAATAACTTTTACATGTTTATTTATACTTATTTACATATAGAAGTAAAAAAAAAATTCATGTTTCCGTCATGGCAAATCCTTCGCATTTAGAAGCTATCGATCCTGTCGTAGTTGGTCGAATTAGAGCCGAACAAGTAAACAAGAAAGATTTTAAAAGTACGTAACGCGATATTTGATGATGATTTTTGTCCTTCTCTTCTGTAAAAATATTAATCTACAAGAATTTTCATTGATATTAACAAGGTGAAAGATCATTGGCTCTTTTAATTCACGGCGATGCTGCTTTAGCTGGGCAAGGAGTAGTTTTTGAAACGATGCACTTAACAAATCTACCAGAATATACAACTGGTGGTGTTATTCATATAGTTATAAATAATCAGGTAAAATTTCGAATGTTATTGCAATAAATAATTGTGCGATTGTATTAGCTCATGAAATTATTTTATTATCTTTTAATATTTAAACAACTTAAGATTGGTTTTACGACCGATCCGAGATATTCTCGATCCAGTTGGCATTGTACGGATGTGGCGAGGGTCATAAACGCACCTGTATTTCATGTATACGGCGATGATCCGGATTTAGTCGTGTACTGTAGTCAAGTTGCCAGCGAATATAGGTAAATGTTTCGATGCAACACGAATGTCTTATCTCAATTAAACGTTTCTACTTAATATTTATCTGAAAGGGCAATATTTCATAATGACGTTATGGTCGACGTTGTGGGATATCGAAGATTTGGTCATAATGAATTGGACGAGCCTATGTTGACACAACCTATCATGTACAAGAAAATAAAAGCTCGTCCAAATGTTCTGACCATCTACAGCGATAAACTTTTGAAAGAGGGCGTGATAACCGAAGCTTTTGCAAAAGAAGTTTGTCAAAATACATTTTAAATAATATTTTTAATAATAATTTCCTGTCATCTTTTATTTTTTCGTAGGAAACCGAAAAATACTTAGACCATTGTGAAACAGAATTCAAGAAAGCGCAATCCATTCAATCTATACACATGTGGGATTGGCATGACGTACCATGGAGCGAATTCTTTTCAAATCAAAGTCCGAAAAATAAGATTCCAACATCAGGCATCGATTTGGAATCAATTAAAATGATTTGTAAAGTTTTATCTACTCCTCCGGAAGGGATAACAGCGCACAATGCGGTACGCAATAGAAAACGATCTATTTGTCAATAATTTAAATTTCTAGATAATTATTTTTATAATTCTATTGTATGTAGGTGTTAAGAGCAATGAAAAAACGACGAGAGATGATAACAGTCAATGAAATTGATTGGGCTATGAGCGAAGGTTTAGCATTTCTTAGTCTATTGAAAGAAGGACATCACGTAAGATTATCCGGACAAGATGTGGAACGTGGAACATTTTCCCATCGAATGCACATTATTCATGATCAAAATAGAGACAAATTATATAAAAATCTTCTGAATGATGCTTTTTCTGGCCAAGCACTTTATACCGTTTCCAATTCACCATTGTCCGAATACGGGGTTTGCGGTAAAATTTATTATACACAAGATATAAAATAGATATAAGCGTAAAAATATATATATATATATATATTTTTATTTTATTTTATTAACAATCAATTCTTTAATATTGTTGTCCGGAAAAGGTTTCGAGTTAGGATACTCGACTTACAATTACAATTCGCTTATACTTTGGGAAGCACAATTCGGTGATTTTGTTAATACCTGTCAGGTAATACATTAATTTAATATAAATGACAATGCTTGATTAGTCTAAAATTATCATGAATTTGATTTAGGTTACTATAGATTGTATATTAGCTTCTGGCGAATCAAAATGGGGTAGACAAGTAGGATTAGTTTTGCTTTTACCACATGGCATGGAAGGCCAAGGACCTGAACATTCGTCTGCAAGATTGGAAAGATTTTTGCAATTGTGTGATGATGATAATTTGCAAATTCCTGGAACGGAATCGAATGCTTCTGGAAATGAATTATCGGAAGAGATTATGACACGACAACTTTTTGAAATTAATTGGATCGTTTGTAATTTGACTACACCGGCTAACTTTTTTCATGTTTTACGACGACAAATATTGATGCCTTTTAGAAAACCACTGGTGTGAATAATTTAACACTGAAAATTTTATTATAATAAATAATAGATAATTAATTATCGTTCAATTATTGTAGGTAATTATGACACCAAAGTCATTGCTTCGACATCCAATGGCGGTATCGAATTTCAAAGACATAAGCCCTGGCACAACGTTTCAACCTATGATTGGAGACCATTCTGTCAAACCAGAAGGCATTCAAAAAATACTATTTTGTTCAGGAAAAGTCTATTATGATCTTGTTCTAGAACGTAAGGAAAAACAATTAGAAGATAAAATTGCAATAATACGAATCGAACAACTATGTCCATTTCCATATCACCTCGTTAGAAATGAATTCACTAAATATCCTAAATGCAAGGTAACTTAATGCGTATCGTTTATTTAACAATAATAATTGCACACAATTTCTCGTTGTAAACGAAATGAAGTAAAATTTAATAATTCGTTATATCTAATATGTTACCTTGAACACGTAGATAATGTGGTTTCAAGAAGAACACAAAAATCAAGGCCCGTACTATTATACAAGAGATAGATTAGCGTTAGCTTTACGTCTACGAGTGGAAGAAATAAAGTATGGTGGTCGAGCACCTAGTGCATCTCCAGCAACTGGCAATAAGCCAATTTACGTAGCAGAATTTCAAAGCATGATGAAAATTGCAATGAATCTTGATTGAAGTTCTAAGAATGATAATAATAATAATAAGTGATTTCCGAATATAGTTATTCAAATTCAATATATATATATATATATATATTAAGATATCACTTAAACTCACCAACATGCACAGATATTTCGTTCGTTCTTTTTTCCAACGTGAAAAAAGTAATCGATTTGTACAATTCCACATCGTAACATTATCGTATATTTTTACGTTTTGATGTTAACAAAACAACTGACACATTAGAAAACGTTATAATCAATGTAGAAGCTCAAAGAGGTGTTAACACAACTGACACGTCTTGAATACATGTGTGTTTGTCCTTAGCTAAAGTTTTACACCTCAAACTAAATACCTCATCTTAGCATCGAAGATAATTCTTTAACAAACTAGACGCGTCGTCATTGATCTCAAATATTATTTTGTTAATTCTATTAAAATATAAGTCTATAATTGTAAGTAAAGCAATTTATTGTATAAACTTACCATATTAGTGTCAAGTGTCTATGATTAAAAAAATATGCACGATCGAACGAAAGAAACGCACTTTTTTTTCTGTTTTTTTTTTCAAAAATATAGAAACATCGATTAAAAATATCAACGAATTGATTTTAAATTGAAATTTGTTTTTTTCATCACTATAATAAAATTTATTATTATATATATATATTTTTTTTCTCAATACATCATTATATTTTTGTACAAGAGAGCAAACTATTTTTGTTTTGTTTGTTAATCTAAAAATTTGAACACCGTAAGAGAGTAAGGAGGAGTCTTAAAGTAACATTGATTACGATTAATTCTTTTAATCTTGAAATGAATTTCGAAGTTGTCAGTTTATTTCTTAGAATTAATATGATAAAATATGATAAAGAATTTAATATAGCCGATGTACTTTTGTTTAGATATATCCATCGATACTAAAAGCCTTGATATTATTAACTTCTTCACGTTCTTATCAAGTTCAACGAAGTCCGATAGTATAGTTTACTTTATTTTTATAGAAAAAAAACTTGTCAATTTTTCTCCAGATAATATATTATCAATGAGATAATATCTTTCTACTAACTTAACAATTTCTATTTTTCTATAAGTATGATTACGTAAATTATGTTATCCCTTTTCTTTTTCATTGTCAAAATTAATGTAACGTTATGTTCAATTATCATAAAGTGAGAACAGATTTTTTTTAATACACTTTGATATAAATCAAAGTGATTAAAAATATTGATTATTAGATAAGAACATTACCAATTCAGAACAAATATTGTACTTATTCATTTGTTAAATATTTTCTATGAAAATTAAAAAAAACTCTTTCAATATAATTGAGAAGAAGAATATTATTGTTCTATTTATTTATACATTAATACATTGCATATTTTTAAAGGATCATGCTCTGAATCGCGAGTAAGAAAGTTACGGTCGGTAATATACCGATAGAGTATCAAAAAAGATTTTGCTATTCAACCGATAGAGTGCCAGTAATCATTGTTTAAGAAAATGTCATAACTCATTGGATTAATCATTCGATTAGAAATTGATATAAAACCGTACGATTTATAACCACTGATTGTATTTAAATGGTGTCATTATTGATTACCAAATAAAATTTATCAACGTTTATATATATATATATATGACAATGATTAAATAAAAAGACGATTTAATTAAAAGTACAAATATGACATTACCTGGTATTGGAGTGTTTGGCACAGGGAATATTGTCAGAGTAATTATTCCCTTTTTAAGAGTGAAGGGATTTGAAATTAAAGCTATATGGGGTAGAACGTTATCCGAAGTATCGGAAGCAGCAGCTGATCTTGAGATACCATTTCATACAAGTCGTATAGATGACGTGCTTCTGAGGAAAGATGTTGATTTAATATTTATTATGTGTTCACCAAGTTTACATGCACAGATTGCAGTCAAAGCTTTGGGTATAGGAAAGCATGTGGTTTGTGACAAACCTGCTGGCTTAAGTCAAAGTGAAGCATTAAAAATGGTTAGAGCTGCTCAATATTATCCATCATTAATCAGCATAGTCAATCACAGTTTGAGATTTCTACCAGCATTTGTTTACATGAAGAAAGCTTTGGAAGATGATTATTTAGGAGGTCCTATAACAATCATTGAAATTAGAGTACATATGGGAAGTTTATTACATAATGGTATGTATTAAATAGTTCACACAATTAACTAATGTAAAATGATTTCCTCTTTCCTTATTGTAACTAATATTTTCATTTTCATTTCTTTTTTTTTTTTTTTTGGTATCAGATTATGATTGGTTATGCGATGATACAATGGGTGGTGGAATTTTGGCATTAGTAGGTAGCCATGTAATAGATCTAATATTCCATTTGATTGGTCAACGAGCTATAAGAGTACATGCTGTTGTTAGAACGTTTACTCAAACTACAAAATATATCAATGGCATACGTCATATAACATCACCTGATTTTTGTACTTTTCAAATTGAACTGAGTGGAGGAGCATTAGTTACGGCTACATTAAGTAATCACTTACAAGGGCAGCTTTCTCAAGAAGTATTGATATGTGGCGGTAATAATCATCTTCTTGTTACCAATGGAGATTTATATGGATTTAAAGGAGGACAAGAAGAAATTCTTTATCGAGATACTGATGATTTAGAAATACCACAACCTGTCTCTGATTCTATTCCACGTCCTTACATTAAAGGATTACGAAATATGATTTCTGCGTTAAGAGAAGCATTTCAATCGGTTGAAGATAAAAGAGGTTGGGTAAAAGAACCTGTATTTTGTGCAGCTACATTTGAAGATGGCTTATATGTACAAGCAGTTATTGATGCATTACGTCAAAGTAACAAACGTAGAGAATGGACTAAAGTTAACATCTTAACAGAAGAGCCTGATCCAAACCCATTGCTCAGTGCTGCTGTTAGAGCTACAGCTATATCAATATAAATAATAAAGTGTACATGATATTTTTATCAGCGCGAGTACACACATGAAGAAAGTGAAATTTCTTACACTTATTTAACGCTATTTATATTAAAAAAAAAAAGATAATATGAGTATACACAACTTTTATTCTTTTTATACTATATGCTAAACATGAAATATTTAATGCAAATGTTGAATAGATCAATCATCGTGTAAGAAGTTTCATTTTAAAAATTAATTTTATGAAGATGAATCAAAAATTAATATATTCTCTCTTTCTCTCTCTAATCACATTCAATTTTATTAACAACTTTTAAATATTTCACGCATATATCATCAACACAAAATACTTTCATATGTATATAGGCAGCTCAAATGTTTCTCTACATTGACAATGAGATACACAATATTATCTTATATTTAATATTAGATTTAATATCTTTTAGAAAATACATAATTATTTGCTTTAGATTCTATTATTCAAATGAAGGTTGTTTAATTTATGTTGTTTTTAACTTAATTTAACATTTTATATATATTATATTATATTCGTGCATAACTATAAATAGAGATATTTATTATAAAACAAAAGAATTATGTGTGAATATATTATTATCCTTATAATATCAATTAACGTGCACAAATGATTTTACAAATTTCCCATCTTTATGTCTCGAAAAATAATAGAGTAAGAGCCCACAACTGCCAGACCTTTGTTAGAAATCTACTAAATACGTATTTTTACGTGACTCGCCCTCCAATGACAAACTACGATAAACGTAAAAATACGTTAACCGCATGTTAACCAAGTGTTAAGATGAGCCAATTTTATCGTTACTTTTCAACTCTCATTATTATTACATAAATATATTTATAAATAAGGAAATGTATGATTAAAAATAACAACGAGTGATCAAGTCATTAACCTACCTTCACGATCAACGGTATTGTCGCGAGTTAACGAATTCCATATTTTAATTAACGTATTAAACATTTATTCCAACTACATGCAATAAGATATTGCTGTGATCTATACAATGCTATAATTAAATAATGACGTAATGATACAATAATTATATATATTATTACATATCAGTCACGTGCTATGACGCTTTGTCGATAAAGCGGATAAGTTTATACACAAATACATATACATATATATAACTATTCAGTGAAGCCAGATCGTAGAACATTTCTACTCCTTCTCTCGAGCCCAGCACGCCTCGTACTAACGAAATGTTACGTGTCGGTGTGTCGGGAAACCGAAAGAAGCCGAGGGAAGCCGAAGTTAGCTGCGCGACGGAGGAGAAATAATACCTCACACGCGCAGCGGAGAAATACATGGACACAATGCAGTGCAGTGCACACTGTGTGCACTGAACTACACTCCTCGGCTTCCCTCGGCTTCCCTCGACTTCTTTCGGTTTTCCGACACACCGACACGTAACATTTCGTTGTGTACGAGGAGTGCTGTTCTCGAGAGAAGGGGAAGAAATGTTGTACGATCTGGCTTCACTGATATATATGTGTGTGTGTATACACGCAATACATAAAATGGGATTCTAATGTAAGTGATTATAACATTCTGAACTTTGTACGTTTACGTATAGATGATTAATCGCGTATTTTACAATTATAACGAGAAAAGTATTATATAAAAATATATAACATAACCTTAATATAATCATTTGATCTTGCATACATTTAATTAATTATACGCACCTATAATCATGAAAGAAAAAGAAACCTTAAAAGGATGGTACATTATATGGTGGTTGTTTAAATTAATTGGATTTCCAATTACTATACCATGGTTACTTTACCATTTTTATGACATTATGCAACAAAAGAAAGAAAAAGCAATATTAAAAAATAAGGTATCATGCGTATATTCTAATTTGTGAACAAATATTTGATAGTATATTGTTATTGTAGTAAATTTGTAAATTATGTTAATTTAGGTGGTAATGATAACTGGTGCCAGTTCTGGATTAGGCGAAGCGTTAGCTCATGTATTTTACAGTTGCGGTTGCAGACTTATTTTAGTTGCTAGAAGAAAAGCAGAGTTGGAAAGAGTTAAAAATACATTAGTGGAGAAACATTGTGTATGTTCAATTGTATTCTATTTTATCATATGTGCTCATAATTATGAAAGTGGTCTCTATCTAAGTCATATATCTCTTGTTTCGAAATCTTATTTAAAGATTTATACTTGAACACTATTATATGAATTCTACACAATATTGAAATAACAAACATTATCTAACGATTCATTTTTGATAATATCGTTTTCAAATTACATTGAATTTATTTAGTTTATAATAATGTAGTGTGTAAACTCATTTTTTTTTTATTAATTTTGACTTAGATCACTTTCATAATTATGGGTACATATGTTTATATGTATATATAAATAAATATTTATATTATATTAATAATATTACATTTTTCAGACAGTTCCAACTCATCCACCTGTAATTCTACCTTTGGATTTAACCGAAATTAATACTTTACAACCGGAAATATCAAAAGTTTTATCGATACATGAAAGAATCGACATTTTGATAAATAACGCTGGAATTTCATATCGAGGAGAGGTCATTAATACAAATGTGGATGTGGATATTAAAGTGATGCTCATTAATTACTTTGCACAAATAGCATTAACTAAAGGTTAATATAAAAATTAATATATATATATATATATAAAAGAGAGAGATTTATTTAATTTGAATATTATACGACATATATATATATATATTTGTTTCCAGCCGTTCTTCCGTCAATGTTAAAACAACAATATGGTCATGTAGTGTATATTAGCAGTGTTCAGGGTAAAATTTCTATACCTTATAGGTTTGTATCATTTTGTTATCAATATCTTTGATTAGGATTAGTAATCAATTAAATATCATAATTTATTAGATCTGCATATGCAGCATCTAAGCATGCATTACAAGCTTGGTGCGATTCCTGTAGAGCGGAATTAGCTGAGAAAAATATTAAAGTAACAATAATAAGTCCTGGATATATAAAGACTGCTTTATCATTAAATGCTTTAACAGGAAATGGTGAAACATATGGAGGTTTGTTTGTTTGTTTGTTTGTTTTGTTTTTTCAAGTATATTAAAAATACAAAAGTAATATAAAAATATTAGGCCGAGTTATAAATAACTTTCGTGTTTTTATGAAACAAAGAATGGCATTTCTGCGACTGATAAGTGCAAGACACTTTTCATGGTGTTTTTTTCTTTTCTTTTTGCACTCTTTGTATTTGTTGAACGTATCTATTGAATTTTGTTCCAATATTACCTTCAAAAGGTTCGTCAAAGTTGGATAGACGTCCTGCACTCGGTGGTTCGTCTTTTAAGGTTGTATCTTCTGAACGGAATTTTACAAACCAATTTCTAACTGTCCTATCAGTTATCAATTCTGCACTGTATACGCTGCATATTTTTTCAGTTGCCACTTTAGTATTATTGAATTGTTTCAATTCTTAAAGCATTACACGTTGAATATGCACTTTTTACAGTTCCATTTGAGAAGTTAAGAAAAACTGTTAAATGTAACATTGATTACATAAAAAAGTTAACAGAAGATTAAACTGAATTTCTCATCTATACAGTGATATCAAAAATTTGTTTGTTTCAATGACTTATAGTAGATAAATACGAAAAATAGATTTTACATAGACACATAGGAAGTTATTTATGACACTTGACCTAATAGAAAACTTTATACTTTTATATAAAAACATAATATGTGCTTACAGTAATGGATCAAACTATAGAACAAGGCTATTCTCCTAAATACGTTGCCAAAAAAGTTTTGAAAGCTGTATTGAAAAAAGAAAAGGATGAAGTTATTGCACCAATTATTCCAAAATGTGGTATATTTATACGTTTCTTATTTCCATCCCTTTACTTTTGGCTCATGGAGAAACGTGCTAAAAAGTTAGATAAAGACAAATAATTTTCTAATAGATCTGATATATTATATTTTGTTTGAAATATTATAATATAATAATATATTTATTTTTCGAATTATTATTTAAATTTTATTAACTAACGTTTTTTTCTTTTTTTTTTTTCTCTTTTTTTGTTATTTCTTATACTTTTATAATAATTAATAAATAAATAGAGTTTTATATATATATATACAAACTGTTTCATAGAATAAATTCATTTTGATATATCCTATATAAGTAAAAATCATATGATACAAAAAGTTGAAATATCTTTATTCCAAATTATTCTTTATTTATAAGAATATTGAAGAAATTTTGGGTTTGATTGTATCGAAAAAAAAAAAAAAGACAAGAAAAAGAAAAACAACACATTTTTTACATGAGCCAAAATTTTCCTATGTATAAAACTATAAAGAAATATTATCTGTATAATTATACAGAATTATCATGGAGTAGTGCATTAAAGTTTCTAATTTATTAATTATATTAATTAAATCTCAGAAATATATATTATACATCTAACTTTCAGACATATGTACGTACAACTATTAAATTCATTACAAAAGAAATGTTTTGTATATTAAAGATTAACATTTGATTAACATTCTAAATGTTTGTTTGTTTTTTTTTTTTTTTATTTATTTATTTGAACTAGTAACTTTAATTTTTATATATATATATATATATATACAATTTATTTAATATATGAGAAAAATAAAATTATATATAATTTTATGTCAAAATATATTTATGTAATTTCAAAGTTACATATTTGTTTTGTTTTTTATTATTTTATGAAATAACAAGATTTTTCTCATTATATCAGAAACCAGTACCGATTTATAATTTGAATAAGGACAAATTGTTGATAAAAATTCATGTACGTACATACACACATAAATTTATAATCATAATAACATAATTAATTGACTTATTAACAATTTACATTTATCTTTTGTTTTTTTTTTCTTCGTTTTCTATCTTCACTCAATTTTTTCTTTTTTTTTTTTGTAATTTTAAATTTATATATCATTTCAAAATAATTCAAAATGAATCAAAATAATATGATCTATTTGTTACATGTTTTGATATATATTTTTACAATTGATTAGTTTGGCAAAAAAAACAAAACAAAACAAAACAAATCTAAACTCGAAGATATAAATTTCATTCACATAATCTCTTGTCTTATTATAAGAATATTAATTTCATTTTATTATTATTATTATTATTATTATTATTATTATTATTTTTTTACATTAAACTTGGCATGTAATTTAAATATAATTATACTAATTATTTATACATAGTATATTGTTTTATATTTTGTATTATTTTGCAAAATATTTATATTTCAATGCTGTACTTAAAACAATTTTTTTTAACGATACTACTATGTACATATTTATTATAATAGAACTATTTATTATATATATATATATATATATGTACAGCATTATAATGTACAAGAAAGTTTTTCAAAAATTCAGATGATGTTCTTTTACATTTAGAAAATGAAAAGTAATATTTTGTTGTCTTATAAATTTAAACATTAAAATTCGAATAACCCCACTTGACTAGAATTTCTATATGTTCTACAAATTCCAGTAATTTTTTTTTTTTAACAAACCTAGTAGTTTAATAATAAATTTACTAGATGATTTATATATATATATATATTATTTGATCGATTATATTATTTTGTTATAAATATATCAATAATAGATTATATATCATCGGTATAATTTTTGTTCAATTTATCATTTGAACAGACCTTTTTCATCAATTGAAGTTAAACAACAAAATCCTTCAAAAAAAAAAAAAAGAAGGTAAAAAGAAAGAATGAGATATACATTTAAATGATTAAATCAATCATTGTGTGTGTGTGTGTGTGTGTGCTTTTTGTTCAATTCTTAAGCTTGAAAATAAACAGAAGTAATTTTAGAAACATCTATTAAAAGAAGTATAAATATATATATCTCATCATCGAAATTCTTTGAATTATCAAATGTGGAATAAAATTCACAAATATTTCAATTAACTTTCAATATTTTAAAAAGGAATTATTGAAAATAAAAAAAAAAAAAGACTTTCACAATACGTATAAGTAAATTTTTTACTGTTCGATTTAATATTTGTTTGACACTATATATAAATTTCTCTTGTTTCAGAAGACAGAATTTTGTTTTTGTATTTTGATATAAAAAAAAAAAAAAAAAGAAAAAAAAAAGAAGGTTTTGTTCATATAATAACGTGAACAAAAATTGTTTATAATAAAATTATAACAGGTGTCAGCCTGTTATATCTAACATCGATTAGAGTTTTGCTTGTCATGAAATTCAAAATTTTTGGTTAAATTATTTTTTAAAAAAAGAAAATGAATATATCTAATGTCATGTTTTAAGAGAGATCAGGGTTTTCTTTTTTTTTTTTTTTTTAGATACTTTGTGTTAATTGGAATGTTAGAACACCAGAATACTTGGCCATAAAGGTATACGAATTAATATTCATGGGGATTTATAATTATTATGTTTATATATATATATATATATCTTATTAGGTATATTTTATTTTGAAATACCTAAGTAATCCAGATTTTAGTTTTAAGTAAGAGGCCTAATGTTGAAATACAAAATAGAAAGAAGTAATTCGTTTCTTACAAGCTTCACAAAATAAAAATGTTTTATGTTAGGTAGAAGAACTTTTCGTAAAATTCTTTATCATTTATTACAGGAATGTTGTAATGCTATTTTTATGGGACTAAATTATGAAGCTTGGTATGCCTTTTTTTTTTTTTTTTTTGAGTAAAGGTTTATTTACCCAAAATTTGTTGTTTCAAATTTTCATTGAAAAAAAAAAAAAAAAAACATTATTTACTGAAAACACAATATATGTGATCCATAAAATATTATATTATATTATTGAAACATTTGGAGAATATAGAATACCACTATCATTTACAATTATTATGCACAGAAATACAAATGTTCGTTTGAATTCTGGTTAATTTTATAAAATGAAAAACTTTCGGAATAGTTGCCTTTCTTGTTTTTTTTTTTTTTTTTTTTTATTATTCTCGCGTTCTGTGCAATCTACCTATATTATTTACAATCTAAAAATACACAATGCTATATTTATAACTTGTCGTTATTTAAAGTTGTAATTTTGTATATTTTTAAAGAGAACACATATTTTACTTTTTTTTTTTTGTTTTAGTTCATTAGGAATATTTTTTTTTTTTTTTTTTCAATTCATTTGTGACAGAAAAAAAAAATAAATGATTATAGTTAAATCGGTAAATTACGGATCACAGAGTAAAAACACCTATAAACTCTGAAGATTATGTCCGGAGCTAAATGCAGTAGTCAGATGCAGAAGATACACTTTTGACGTGGTACAAAGTCTTCACTGTAAAGCGAATGTGATTCTGTATTTCTTCTAATATAAAGAATCCTATGCCTAGGCCCTTGCTGTTTGTTCTATTGTGGATGATGTATTGCACGGCCTTTTATGTTATTGTTGTTTTTCAATTTAAAAACAAGATATCATTCATTTTCAACAATTAAAAACTTCATTTAAAAGCTTGATAAATTCTCCATGCGCTAATACTAATTGCTGCAAGAGTAACACTCGCATGAAGAATTCGTCTCCTTGTATCGTCCTTTCTCACAAGGAACGTTGGCGATGAGGGACCTAAGATAGCTAACACTTCCATATGTGGTAGCTTACTCGTGTCAGTTTCTACTTGATATTGACAACATGGATCAAATTGCCAAGATAATGTATACAGTCCACAGGTTATAAGTGATACAAAACCTAATGTGCCACAAATATATGGTCGATCACCCCATATAAGACCTAAAAATATTAGCAATCGATTATTAAATAATACGATTTATGATTTACAGTTATAATATAAGAACATTAATAAACCTGTTGTGATGGCCGTTAAGCCAGAAAGCGTTGCAGTTTTATGAAGACAATTTCCTACTGTTATCCACCTAGAAGTTTCATCTCCTAATTTGGATGGTTCGATAATAATTAAAGTACATTCTGATTCTAGAGCTCTTTCTAACTCGTATTCAAAAGTTTCGTGAGCATTTTCACTATCGTATACTTCTCTAATAATTGCAACTTTTGAATTATCATCCCTGTAAACATACAATTAAATATTACAATTTGAAAATAAAACCGATGCTAAGGTTATTTTCTCATAAGTTTCGATATGTACAAATTAAATGAACATTTAATAACAATAAATTAGAAAATCTATAAATGTATATTTATCATATATACTATATAGACATATAAGATGTACCTTCTAATAACATTGTTTTACAACATAGTTGCAGATAAAGTCATATCAATTCTAAACCTTTGATTTGTAAGAATACTCGTTAAACATTGATATCTCATGTGTGACATTTAAAAGTAGATCACTTATTACAATTATCATTTTCTTTTCTCCATTTGTTTCTTTTGCATGTTATGTAAGAGGTCTGATTGAATTTAATTAGATTAAGAGTTTGTTTGAATAAAATATTTGTATATATATATTTCTAACAAATGTACAATGTATTTTTATAATATTAAAATATATTGTAATACCATTGTTTTATAGGCTAATTTATACAACAAATGTTGAAATTCAAAGTAACAATGTTTAGACTATAAAAAAAAAAAAAAATGATAAATATGCATAAATATTAATCATTAAGCGATTTATAATAACTTTTAAATATAACATTGTATTAACGCTTTTATATTAGAGAACAAATATTCTTTATAATGAAATATTTACAAATATTAACAGAGAAAAGAAAAGGTTAATTTGTTATGCTTAAAGTATAACATTTGAGGTTAGCTATTATAATATTAACTTATATGATATAATAGTAATATTTTATATAACCATTGTCGGAACTATTAAATATAAAATTTTATATAAAAAATTGCAATTAATTAATGCTACGAACCTGTCAACGGCTTTATCTACCATCTTTACAAGCAATCTTATGGACGATGGAACAACAGTCGTTCTAAACTCGAAACAAATTTATGAATATAGAACCGGATGTGTAAATCAGCTGATTCTTTCCTATATGAGTTTGACTCAAGTAGTTTAGTTAAACTTAAATATCGCTTTTAGTAGTAGTAAAACATATTTGTTAAATATAATATCTTTGTTAAACTATTATCAAATAATATAATAATAATATATATATATATTATTTTATTTTAATTATAGAATGAAATTAATTTGAAATAAATGTCTTAATAATATTATTGATATTTTATCAGATGATAAAATATATGAAAATATGAACGTTTAATAGTTCCCGCCATTTACGTTTTCTGACTTATCATTTTGCTGCTTCAAAAGATGTCGCGTTATATTCGATTCAATAGTAGCGGGAATAAAAAACATAATAAATAGTTGCAGGTTGTTTTTTTATTGCTTATTCTTTACTTATTATTTTTGTATTACAAATAATTGGAACAATCGTTGATTGATGTAATACAAATATTTAATTATCATCGTACGCGGTGTATTTTACACAATCGATGACGAACGTACACGCGCAGTGATGATAATTTTAGAATATTGCTTTCAGATTACATAATTTGTATATCATTAAATATTATCGAATATTTAAAAATGCATATAATCAAAGAATCTGATTAACGAGAGATGTTCGTGTAGAAAATATAACTTTGACGAATTTCGCAAGTATATTCGAGGTCAATGAAAATTAATTCGAAAAATCAGCAATTTTTTATTGTCGATATTACTTCATTAACAACATTTGATTTGATTAAATAAAATCATGTTGTTTGTAAAATGATATTATTGGAAAAAGAATCGAAAAAAAAAAAATCATAAGTTTACATCGTATCGGAGATCAGCCAATAGGAAAAGGCGTATGTATGTTAAGGAAATATGGCGGATGCGCGTTGGTAAAGTTAGCGACCAATCAGTTTACGAAGATGGAACGATAGCTCAGGAAACGATTGGAAATGGTGTGCGGTAGCGCTTGGATTATAAGAAAACTGTACGGTAGCACGGTTTGCGGATGGATGTAAGCGCGAGTTTCGTTCTGTCATGGATATTATCGAACGGTGTGTCATAGCTTTGTCCGAGCATCGTCGTCGTGCTCGTCTTCGTGCTCAATTTTGTGTTAATCGTCGTCGACGTCGCCGGCGTCGTCGTCGTACTTATTGCTAGATTCTTACAAAGTAGCAGCGCCACTGGGCTCTGAAAGAATCGCAAAGGGGCGTATTTATGCGTCTTTTGCATGTAATTCTCCATTCCAATTTTGTACTTGCACCTTTTGTTTTTCTCTGGTGCCTCGAGTGAGAAACACACTGCAAGAACGTGGGAGAGGGGGAGAAAGAGAGAGCGTTTAAGTGGGAAAGAGAGAGGGGAGGCTTCCCCGTGATTTCATTCTATCGTCCACGTGCTTTCGCGGCTTATTGTTAGACCGGAGATTCTCAAGTGACGGGTGCGGCGGTGAAAGAGTGAAAAGGGCAGGAGAGGGGGTTTGGTTTGATCTCTCTCTCCCTCTCCCACTCCCACTCCCACTCTCTTTCTCTTTCTTTCTATGCCGGAAGGTAAGAAAGAGTGGGGGATAGAGTCAGTACCGCGTCGACCTTAGAGGAGTCTAGCGCTCGTTTCGTTGCATCGCGTTTAGTGCGTGTTCGTCAGTGCGCGAGTCAATGACGACCTCGTGAACGCGCGAGAACGCGCGTGCTCGTGCGACGATGCGCGTTTCCCGCGACGTCGAGAAAGAGAGAGAAGAAAGCAGAGAAGATTAAGAATAAGAAGAGGAAAAGAGAGAAAGATAGAGAGAGAGAAGAATAAAGAAAGAATCCAACACAACTACGAATCATCGTCGAATCGTTCGATCACACAGCTGAGAGTTTACTACGTGATCAAATACACGCGCGTGCGCGTGTCAGAAGAAAACGTGCATTTCGTCTGCTCTTACCTTTATCTCGAGAATATCAACATATCTCTTGTTTTGAAAGGTGTTTATTTTCGAAGCGAGACACAGTGGTTGGGATTTCAAGAAGCGCCAAAGTGATTAGAAACGTAAGTTCGGCGGTGATACTCTCGGGTGAAGGGTAGGGAGGGAGGGGGGAGGAGGAGGAGGGAAGAAACGTGAATTTGTCGCTGTTAAGACGATCACTGGAAGGATAGTATAACAGAGGTGATAAATCGAAGAAAATAATAAGTGAAAGAAACTTTGAAAAGAGAAGGGAGTCGATGGAATAATGTCGTCGTGGTTATTGTTACCGTTATTAGTGTTGCTGTTTATATCGGCCGATAATAATCGTCGTCTTCGTCGATAATCTTTGACTCGCGTGAGTGTATCGCGATGTCGAGCGGCACGGGGGCCGTCGTGCGTCCTACCGGCGCCGAGTGCAGGAAGTTCGCACCAAACATATTCAACAAGAGCAAGTGCAGCAGCTGCTTCAAACAGAAAGAGGAGCACAGTGCGGAGGCTCTGGAATGCAATAGGGTGAGTTTTCCTTGATGGACTCTATCTTTATCTCTCTCTCCCTCCCGCCCTGCCGCTTCTCCTCTTTCTCTCCTCATCCTCATCGTATATCCTTTTCTTTCTTTCTTGCGTGCTCTGTGTGTCCTCTCTCTCTCTCTTTCTCTTTCTTTTTCTTTCTTTCTTTCTTTCTCTGTTTCTCCCTTTCATTCTGCTACCCTCCTCCATCTTTCTTGCGTACATGCTCAACTCGACGCGCCTCGAGACGTCTCCCTTGACTTTTTCTTCTTCTTCTTCTTTTTCTTCCTTTCCCTTCTCATCTCATCTCTTCTCTTCTTTTTCTTTTTTCTTCTTCACCGTTGAATTCCACGGCACGGTCGGTGAGGAACAACGGAAGGAGCGGAAGGAGTAGGAAAGATGGGGGGAGGGAGAGAGAGAGGTATGTCTCGTAGGGATCATTGCTGCGTTACGTAATTCATACTTTTTCATTCGATCTGTTGCTGCTGTTACCTTCAGAGCATGTCTCAGAGGAGTAAACTCGATCGATCGATGGATCGATCCGTCAGTTCGTCTGTCCGTCCGTCATTCCTTCGTTCGAGGGAAAGCATTAATTGCATGTTTCCTTCTATTATATTACGATGCGTTTTTTCTTTTATATGAAGATGCGTCATCATTGAAAGAATTGTTCATTTGTTATTCTATTGATAAACAAGGTTTATTTTTCTACACCATATAGATTTTTTTTTAAATGCTACTCTCTTTCTTCTGTTTTATTTTTATCTTTTTGGTACATATTTACGTATTAACGCCACCCACAGCAAAATTCCGCTAATACACCAATCCTATCACTTTAAATTGTTGCATTAAATCATAGAATAAAAAGACTTTATTTAAAATCAAAAATCGTTTTAAAATTGAAAAGATTTGATTTATAAAAAGTAGTCACAATTGGATTTCGGTGGAAAATAGGCCGATATAGAATTTAACATAGATTCAAAATAGTCTCTATTATTATTTTCTTTCACTTGATGCTGTCGCCATAATCCTGACGCAACCCTGACGAAACCCTGACGATTGCTGTGTGCAAACAACAAGGTTGCTCTTTATTGGCGCATTAGCGGAATTTTTGATGCGGTGTCATGGCGTTAATATGTGAGTACCATTTTTTTTTTTTTAAGAACAACGCGAATCCTTTTCGATTGTTATCGACGTTCTCGCGGCCTTGGCATCGTAACTTTTACATATATACCTTTCGAATCAATGTTTCCTTCTCTCGCCGTGACGCATCACGCTCCTCGTCCTCTTATCTCGTATATTTATACGGATTCAACGAAAAAAAAGAAAAAAAAGAACAAAAATCTCGATGAGTACAGATAAGAGCTTGTGTACGCATTCTCTTATCTCCGACTCTACACACAGTATGAATTTGATCGATCAAAAATAAGTAAAAATAAGATTTCTCTCTCTCTCTCTCTCTCTTTGTGTGTGGTTTTTTTCATTCCACGGAGAAAGAAAAAAATTAAAAAAAAAAAAAAAAAATAAAATGAAAAAAAGGAGATTAAGTTGGGAGCTTTTTTTGTCCCAAGTAATCTCGACTTATTTAGAAAAAAGGAGTCAAATCGAAATACTACTATGTAGAAGGCACGCGTTTCTCCTTTCTTATACTCGTTTGCAAATTTCGGAATGCTGGCAGCCTTGCGACCTGTTCTCTCTTTCTCTCTCTCTTTCTCTCAGTGCATTCCAATCGCCTTCTTCCAGCACCCTTTATAACTGCCTGTCCGAGAGCCGTTGCTTCGTCGACTTTCGAAGGAACGCAGTAATTTGCGTGAGAAAGAGAGAGAGAGAGAGAGAGAGAGAGAATGTGTGTGTGTGTGTGTACGGTCCTCTTTCTCTTCTCATAACAACATTGAAAGAGAGAGAGACTAAAATGATCAGTCAAATTGCGAATACAATTTTCTAAATTTCAAATGCTCTTGCAATTTTGTCCAACCTTTTCTTTATCATTAAAAAGTACATTCTCCTACCTACTTTCGATCCATCCATATGATTGGCTTTTTATGAAATTAAGAATGGACTTGTATAGGTCACCAATGTTTCTCTCTCTTTCTCTCTCTCTCTCTCTCTCTTACTTGTTATTTTTATTATTGTAAGAAATTCCGCAATTCGCATTAAGCTCTGCAATCGTTACGATGATCGCATATAACCGCATATTTTCATATACACCGCACGTAGTAAGGTTTTTCGAATGGTGTATAGGGTACATATAAAGCGAAATACGCTTGTCTCAATTGCTTTTCTCCTTTAGTACTAATTACGAGAATATTTGGCTGTTGCTCTCGTACACGGGGGATATCTCCTGTCGATGGACGATCTTAAGGAAGCCGTAAAACGTGCTTTTTACGAACTATACGCGTACGGACAAGTCAAAAACGTGTGCCCGTTATAAAAGCGACGGAGCTTATTTATATCGTTTGGTTTATGCATACGTAGTATGTATAGTTTGTCCAACTTTAACGGTTATATCAAAACGACGACCAGCTTACCAATGACCAAAGACATTTTCAAGCGAGTCCAATTCTAGAGTTGTTTTCTAATCAAGTAGTTAGTTAAAACATTTATTGAGAAATTCGTGTATCATTTAACATTTTTTTTTTTTGCAAATTTTATAATTATTTATTTTTTTTTTTCATTCGTTGATACTTTTGCAGTTGGCAAACGCGATAAAATTGAACACCGAGAGACGAATGGAAAGATAAGATTTTTTTGAAAAAACGAGCACGTTCGCGATGAACAAAATTCTTCCATCGTCATCGTCTCTACCTTGGTTGGTCGCACTCGTTTGGCATTCGAAGAAGATGATGAGCGAGAGTCGAAGAATTTCGGTTTCCGTTCTTACGACGACGACGACGACGACGACACGAAAGAAGAAATTTTGCCACCTGCCCTTCAAAAATGCTTACTACGCTAGAGACGTCAAGATTTTTGTTCTCTTTCCTTTTTCGAACGGCGAACGTTACCGTGTTTAACATGTTTATTCGTTGTGTCGTCATCTTTCTCTTTCTCTTTTTCTTTTTCCCCTCTCCCTCTCTCGCTCTCTCTCTTGGCCGCATATTTACTTTGCTTACTACTCCGTAGTGTATGCCATAAGCGAGATACTGTTATGTTCGGCGCTGTGTGTATGTACGACAACGACGACGACGACGATGACGACGACGACGACGACGACGACGACATATCTCTTCGTTGATCTTGATATTTCTTTCTCGCTTTTCTGACCCATTCAGCTTATTATAATGTTTCCTTGAAATTATTCGTTACTTACTAAAGAAGAATAATATATGTATTTTAATATATCGCGTAGAAACGTGTTGTGTGTGTTATCTTCGATAACAACCACCTCTTCGCGATTACTACGCAATGACGTTATCACCGATGTTTCATTAAAGCGAACGAATTACCTACTACTATTATTTTCTTTTCTTTTATGTTTGACTTTTTAATTCGAGTTGGCGAAAGCAGTGAAACTAGTATATCACCTGATTGCAAAAGTCAGGACGAGAGGCGAGTTGTTCTGCGCGCTTCTTAAACGTGCCGTTACAAAAAGGTAAAAAATCTTTAAGAGCGCGAGCATCCAGTTGTAACGGTATACGGTATATGGAGGCGAAAGAAAAGAGGAGATCGGTTTGATCGTTAAGAAGCGGGTAAAGGCTAAATGAAACGTCCTGTATGCCCAGAGAGTTACTAGTGAATGGGAGTCGAGGAGCGAGCCTAACCCGCGCACCGTCGGTGGTGGCCCGCTTTACGGTCTATCCCGGATAGATCGCCCTCCAGCGATTAATCGAGTCTGGGAAGTTGAAGAAGAACGACCGAAGAACGACCGAATGAGCGAGATACTTGGTTAGATAGAGAGATATACTGCGAAAGGAGAGTGGGAAGGAAGGCCACTTCTTTCCTTCGAATCGAAGCTTTTTCCTTGCGCCTTTCTTGCTACCTTCCTTGCTGCTGTTACCTTCCTTGCTGCTGCTGCTGTTGCTGTTGCTGTTGCTGCTTTCCTGCCATAGAAGACGAACAGAGCATGCGCACGCTTCTCTTATCTTTATAAGGATTTCATTGAAAACGTCGTCGGCGGAAAACGAACACGACTCTCGAGAATCTATCGTAGTGGTCATCATCACCCTTGCCATCGTCGTCGTCGTCGTCGTCTGTGCCATCATAGCATTTTACAACTTCTTCTTACCGATCGACCAAAATACTTTTATGAGTTTAGGCATCGCGCGTGCGTCGAATGGATTATTTCATTCCTACGCGCAAGAACGCGCGTTTCATTAGAAAGGGAGACAAGCAAGCAAGCAAGCAAGCACAAGTACACCTTCGAAGTATTATTTATTCTTACCTCAGAAATTGCACGAAGCTTTCCATAAATAAATATATCGTGCGCTTTTGCGTTACATTATTTCGATGATAAATTTGAAGAGAGAAAGAGAGAGAGAGAGAGAGTTGTTTTTCCTCATAGGATTCTCGGTTAGTTCCAGGAATATTCTATAGGTCTGTAACATGAATGAACGAACTCTATCGTCCGGGTTTTACCTTAACGGAGTTAACTCTTAACGAGAAAATCTGGTTCCGAGACGGTTTCCGCGTACTAGTCTCTTCGAAGGAAGATGACCGTGGCGCGAGTAACTCGACCGATCTTTCCCCCTTGACAAGCTCCTAAGCTCCTCCTCCTTCTTCTTCATCTTCTTCTTTTTTTCTCTTTTTCTCTTTTTCTTTTATTTTCATTCGACTTCGCCCGATGAGATAGCGCGTTATCTGCAATCTCGACGATCTGGGATCGGCATAAAACTTGGGAGCGCTCGTAAAATGAGTGGAATTTTCAGCCTGTACACTTTTTATCCCCTGTCCTCTAGGATAAGAAGAAAATCCTTTCTTATCTTTTGTGTGGATTTCTTGGAAAAATAAAAAGGAAAACGAGAGAGAGAGAGAGAGAGATAGAGAAAGAGAGAAAAGGAACATTGAGAGAAAGA